CTTCATCTCTTCTATCAACGGGTTTCAATCCTATCTCTTCTGATATTTTTAAAACCATGTCCCTTTTGTAAACTTAGAAACTTCCAAGTTCTAAATTGGGTTTTGAGTAATTGGTTTATAATTTATTCAATTCCAAAGCATTGGACATTGGAACAGTTTGAAAATGTTGGGCAGGCCAATATTGATTCCAAATCAGACTTTTTAGGTGACTTTTAGATTCCTTCACCAATGTAAATATTGTCTAATTAAAGCAATTGTTGGTGTCTGCCCGCATATTCCTTCACCTATATATATAGTTCCGCTGTCTGCATTGGGTCTATTGGTGTGTTCAAAACCCCAACTGCTAGTTGAGCATGTGCGAGTCTTGAAATGGCTGATGATCCTAATGCAGACACCGGACCTTCCAATCTTCAGAAAGGTACTACTGCTCCATCTGGCCTCCCCCCTTCACCTCCATCTGCTAGTAATCTCCCCGGTCAGCAAGATCCAGGTCGAGAAGTTAAAGAGCAAGCCCCTTCTGGCGCTGCTGCAACCTCAAGAAAGCGACCTGCTTCTTTATCATCTTTAGAATTTAGGAAACTTATTTTAGGTGATAGGGCAAGAGACAATTCTGGCACTGTTATTGAGAGACAGTCTTTTAAAGGCTTTCTTGGTATTAACAATGTAAGGATTCCTGTGGGCCAAGCTCCCACTCCTGATGCTCTGCCTAACGGCTTCTTTGAGGCACTATATGATATGATTGGTCCCAATAATGGTCCTTGCTACAATGCTGAGCTTAATGCCCTTGGAAGTACGGATGAAGATCTCTGGTTCCTTTGCCCTTCAAATGTGGAACCACATGTTTGTGAGCTAAAGGATATTGGCACGGCTACTTATCACTGTCATGACATGATGATTCCTGCCATTTACACTTTGGCAAAGAGACAATATGCCAAGTATTATCCAGCTTCTAATGCCGAGGATTCTATCAAATGGGCTGTACTACGTGCTTGCTCCTTTGAGGCAGGATGGTTTGCGGCTCAGAAAGACGTCAAATACTGCAAACCTCCTAACGACTATCTCACAGTCTTCACTGCCGACAAATCGTATTATGATAAATACCATAAACCTGCTTGGGCCCTCACTGGATTCATTCCCTACTTCTATGAATTCTACTTCAGAACATACGGCTCATGCTATAACTCTTCCACTGCTGCAGATTATACAGCAAAGATCAATAAATTAGCACTTGCCACACGAATAGCTGATCATTTAAAGTACCTGCCTGAAGATGTACTATATGGCCCTGCCTTCCGGTGGATCGGTGTACTGCGCCCGAAGCAAGCATTAATCCAACACAAAGAGACTAATAATGTGCCCGGTGTTTTCAAGATCAGGATGAAATATGCTCCTGCTGGTCAAGCTTTGGTGACTACAACTTATGCTGTTCTGCAGGCAATGGAAGCTAAAGGATGGTGGTCGGAAATTAAGAGTGGCATTGCGTTCGATGATAGTACCATCTACTCTGTTGCTCAGAGGATTTTGGATGATCCATGGAGGTTTCACCTCTACTCCAGCGTCTATGAACTCCCACCATTGAGTCCTGAAGAAAAGGCTGAAATTGACAAGGCAAGAGAGGATGCCACTAAGGTTGCTCCAATTACCCAAGCATTCTGTGATGTTGTATTGCGTAATACTGCTTTGGGTCGTGCCAAAGTTCTCAGAAAAGCTTCAGAGGTAAATATCTTCTCGTATCACAAGTCCAAATCTCTCTTTAGGACATGGCTGAAGGAGAAGAAGAAGGTGACACGTGTTTGAGAGATGCTTTCAGCGGGTATCTTTAATTTTTGTGTATGAAGGCGAAGGAATGCTTATGTAGCATGTGACATTTGACTTAATTTTGCGTGCTGGTACTCTCTTTTTTTGTGGCATTATATTGTGCCAACTGCCAAGTAACATCTGAACATTACCTTTGGCGTATCTTATCAGAGACATTGCTTTTGTGTTTGTCCGTTTGTTCAATTGTTTGCTTTGCCATTTACCTTATTCTTCGATATATGCATAGACTTTGATTATTGCCAATAACACAGGACATTAGGGAGCTGGGGAGGCAAATTGCACTATTCACATCCAATATTCACCAATTGGATAATTATTTTCATAGGACCTACTGAGAGATCCTATCAGAATTAATACTGATAAATTATATATATAACATTCAGAGAACACGTCTCTAATAAAAAATTAAAAATCAATCATATAAAAAGCATATGAAGGAAAAACAATTTCAAAACTGAAGTATTATTATTATTTTTAATGGACAGGAAGACATTATATGTAGGGCATATAAATTTCTCATCTGAAAGTTTAACTTTCATTTATTTTTACTTTAATTAAAAACTTATTTTTATTTTTTGAAAGAGTTTGTTTTTATTTGTATTATACGTGAAGTAAAATATACCCATTACTAACTTTATGTAAACAATTTTTTTTTTGTTGCATTTCATATTTAGCTGTATTAATTGGACCTCTGTATTAATCCATCAACTGACAGTGATGAGACAGAAAACCTGGTGGCCTGGCTACCTATTTAGCTGTTCTAGCTCTTCTTTAATGACCAACAAATGCTTCCAAGCTAAGCTTGATTACTTGATACATTAATCTAGCTATATTTTGTTGAGCTTATTTCCATTGCAATATATATAACTCTTGAGAAACAACAGGCCCGCCATATCTAAGCACCAAATTTCTCTCCTTCTGAAATGGAACACAATCTTCCAATTGGTTGGCGCTTCTTCAAGGTTATGATGCCAGGGTTCCAAACCAGACTCGTACGCTGTTCTCTCTCCTATTAGGATTGATCAGCTCTTATTATGTGATGTTTTACTTATTTTTATTTTGTTTGGAAATTTTACTTGCTGCATATGTAGACCTGCCACCAATTATGTGTGAAAAGCTTAACGAAAAGAAGCCAGAAGAAGTGGTGTTAACAAGTCAAAATGGTAGCTTCAAAGTTAAAATCCAAAAATGCAAAGATCAAATGCTCTGTTTCACAGAGGGGTGGGATGAATTTGTCCGACAACATGGCATAGCTTTTAAAGATTTCGCCGTGTTTAAACACATGGGGAGTTTTCATTTCAGTGTAATTCTGTTTGACCAAACTTGTTGCCAGAAAGATGTTCATATCAACCCAGAAACCAGCAGCAATGACAGTGAAGGTGGGTTATCAGAATTCGCCACACACAAAGACACTTATGTCCACATGAAAAAAGTAGTTTATAGAACTCCAAAAAAAAAAAAAAAAGTTGATTATTGTTGTTTGTTGTAGGAGGAAAGAATTTGTGTACCGGGCAAGAAAATTCTAGTTGCTTTACAACCACCATCAAAGCATACAATGTACGCAGAAAGGCTCCTTACATGGTGAGGCTGTTACTCATTGTTTGACCACTATTTTTTCCAAACATTTTTATGATATTAGTACTAAGTTGTATTAGTGTGAACTTCAATTTGCAGTACATTCCACGGAAGTTTTGTACATCAAACAATCTTTCGAAGAGCACAAGCATCACTCTTAGAGGACCCTGTGGTAAACTCTGGCCAGCCAAACTTAGAACATATGTATATGGTAAGACATCGGGAGACTATGCATGCATTTATGATGGCTGGAAAGAATTTGCCATGCACTATGATCTTAAGGAAAGAGATGTCTGCATCTTTCGATTCATTCGTCACCCAACTTCGTACTCTTTCATGGTGGATGTGAAGATCCTTCCGGCCTGTTAATTAACATCACTTTAGCACTAGTTCAAGATGACCTCTTTTTTTTTGGTCCTTTTTGAATCATCTTGGCAAATGCAGCGTGTGGTTTTGGTTTGTTTTTGGATCATATTGGCAAACATGGTAGGAAGCTGCCAGCTTACTTTCTACTGATATGATAATATTGGGCAAAATGCAATAATCTTGTTCTCATTTCTGTTATCAGTTTCATGACATTCTGATCTCTTCATCTAACAAAGAATGGGGGATGAGGATTGAGGCTGCTACTTTAAAGCTGCCAGATAATCTTGGGCAAATTAAAATGCAGCAATCTTGCATGTTCTCGTTTTTGTTTTTACATGGCATTCTGATCTATTTATCTAACAAAGAATTGGGGGATGAAACTGCTACTTTAATGGCTGGTTAAACATCCCAAATTTGTGGATGAAAAGGACTTTCTCTGTCTTCTGTGTCAGATAAGGTCATTTTAAATTTTAATGCCATGAATCCCATGATGCTTAGATTTTATAGTTTTATACTTATATACCTCCAAAAGGATTTTGCCATGTTGGAGAAGACTTCTTTAGTGTGTTTCTTTGGCATGTGGGTTACATCTTTATTTCAAGTTATTTTGGACAAGATAGGATTGACACAACAAATACAAGTGTCCTTTTTTTGTGGGTATATATATATATATATATATATATATATATATTATTTACAATTTAAGATAGGAAGGAAAATAATTTCTATCATAATGGCTGCAGGAAAAGTCCACCAACATCAAGAGTTCACCCTAAACCATAACACCTATTCGATCTAATATTGATAGACTTATAAATATGATTATTAGTTTAATTATTTCAAAGTTTTTACCGTTTAAACCAGCTCGGTTGGTGTGAGTGACCGTGCACTCTTATCCCTTAAAAAAGATCGGGAGTTTTAAGGAGTCAGTCCGGTACGAACCGAGATTAATCTCGAACCAGTGCAATGTTACTGACTTAAAGATGTCTCCAACAATTAGAGCTGCTCAGGACATTTCGTGGTCTGACTTAAAAAAAAAAGTTTCTACCAATTGAGTTATACTACATATACTTCCTAATCTTACTCTTTAAATTTTACTCCATGATGTGGCGGTATATGATAAACTGTTTTTTTATATGGATCTCAATACAAGTGTCTATATTAAAATTTTGTGCATGAGTGACTGAGTGTACAAATTGAGAGTACACCTACCATTTTCCCTACCAATTAGCAGGGCAGCAATCTGATTGTTGGGCAGGACAATATTAATTGCAAATCAGACGTTTTAGAATCCTTCACCAATATTAAAGCAATGGTTGGTGTCTGCATATGTAAGTCCCTTTTAAACTACTATGTTGAAGAACATGTTTTAAAACCTCATAGGAAGGCACTTGATCTGGTTTGTTCTTTTAGTATCTGAAATCATCTTCTTATTCTTAAAGATTTTTTATATTTATTGATAGCCACGGAGCTTTGAGAGATTACTTCAACGGTGTCCAATTTCCGCAGCCTTTATAGATTACTTGATCGTGTTTTCCGGCTATCCTCAATTGGAACGTCCCAGTTGAAGAAACCCCATCTGCAAGTCTTGAAATGGGTGATGATCCTAAGCAAGATCTAGGTCAAGAAGTTAATGAGCAAACCCCTTCTGACGGTGCTGGAACCTCAAGAAAGCGACCTGTTACTTCCAAGTTTCTCTCTTCCAATCTTCCAATTGGTTGGCGCTTCTTCAAGGTTATGAGGCCAGGGTTCCATACCAGACTCGTATGTATGCTGTTCTCTATCCTATTTCATTCTTTTTCCTAGGATCTTCTCTTTATGTGATGCTTTGTTTTATAATTTTCTCTACTTAATTGCTGCATAGAACCTGCCGCCCATTTTGTGTAAGAAGCTTGGTGAAAAAAAGCCGGAAGAAGTGGTGTTAACAGGCCAAAATGGGAGCTTCAAAGTTAAAATCCAAGAAGGCAAAGATCAAAGGCTCTGTTTCACAGAGGGGTGGGATGATTTTGTGGGTCAAAATGGCATATCTCTTGGAGATTTCGCCGTGTTTGAACACATGGACAGTTTTCATTTCAGTGTCGTTCTGTTTGACCAAACTTGTTGCCAGAAAAATGTCCATGTCAACCCAGAAACCAGCAGCAATGACAGTGAAGGTGGGTTATCAGAATTCACCACACACAAAGACACTTATATTGGGACACACATGAAAAAAAGTAGCTTATCAGAATTCGCCATAATAAAATTTAGGGAATAAGATTTGAGAGTACATGTAAGAGAACTCCAAAAAAAGTTGATTACTGTTGTTTGTTGTAGGAGGAAAGAGTTTGTGTACCGGGCAAGAAAATTCTAGTTGCTTTACAACCACCATAAAAGCATACAATGTACGCAGTAGGGCTCCTTACATGGTGAGGATGTTACTCATTGTTTGAGCACTATTTTTCCCAAACATTTTTATGATATTAGTACTAAGTTGTATTAGTGTGAACTTTAATTTGCAGCACATTCCACGGAAGTTTTGTACATCAAACAATCTTTTGATGAGCACAAGCATCACTCTTAGAGGACCCTGTGGTAAACTCTGGCCAGCCAAACTTAGAACATATGTATATGGTAAGACATCGGGAGACTATGCATGCATTTATGATGGCTGGAAAGAATTTGCCACGCACTATGATCTTAAGGAAAGAGATGTCTGCAGCTTTCGCTTCGTTCCTCGCCCAACTTCTTACTGTTTGATGGTGGATGTGAAGATCATTCCGGCCTGTTAATTAACTTCATTTTAGCACTAATCTAAGATGACCTCTTTTTTTTGTCCTTTTTGAATCATCTTGGCAAATGCAGCATGTAGTTTTTGGATCATTTCGGCAAACATGGTAGGAAGCTGCCAGCTTCCTTTCTACTGATATGATAATTTTGGGCAAAATGCAGCAATCTTGTTCTTATTTCTTTTATCAGTTTTATGGCATTATGATCTCTACATCTAACAGAGAACTGGGGGGATATGGGGGATAAGGATTAAATCTGCTACTTTAATGGCTGGTTAATTTCCGCCATATATACACTAACTTCCGCCATTGGCGTATGGCAAATTATATTGTTCAATACACAGAATTTGACTTTATAATGCATAAAATTTATATTTATAATGCAAAAAATTCATGTTTTTAATATACATACATAAACACTATATATATGAACATGAATTCTGTGTATTATGTTAAGTGTTTATGTTTTCAGTTATATAATACACAAAAGAGTTAATTTCACTTTTGACCCTATGACTATTTGGATGTTGTAAATTTGAGTCCACAACTTTCAAAACTAACAATTTAGTACCATAACTATTTAATTTTTATCAATTTTAGTCAGACCAGTCAAATTGTCGGTCAATTGTCGCTGAAATATTTTAATTCAGTGTTAAAATGAAAGTTAATTTGTGAGCCACTGTTTGAATTAATACAGAGGATGTGGGATATAGATAAAAATTGGTGACTATTGGCTGCAAAATTGAAAAAATTTGAATAGTTAGGGTATTAAATTGTTAGTTTTGAAAGTTGTGAATTGAAATCGACAACACACCAATAATCATAGGACCAAAAATGAAATTAACTCACACAAAATTCATGTTCATTATATCGTGTTTATGTGTATGTGTATGATGAACGTAAATACGGTGTATTATAAACATGAATTCTGTGTATTGGACCAGAATCTATAATGCACTGTGGATCCTGGTCCACGATATAATAATTGTTGGCGTATACGTGTGTATATTTGATTGGATTGACCTAAAGTAGAGAAATATCTTCAGAGATAACGCTATCAAAATTAAGCACCACATGCAGCTTTCGTGTACGTGTTGATCCCAAGATAGAAAATGGCTCTGCTTGTCTGCTTGTAAAGAAGTCTCTGAAATGGATGTTACGGGACCACCTCAAAAGATAAAAGGGTAAACGTCAAAATACAATTTTTACACCCTTGGCAAGAATTGCTCGTATTAAATATATACTCCGTAACTCTTTCTATTAGCAAAATAATAAGTTTCTTATTAAGTACATATGTGAAGCCAATCGTTATACCGTGCATCACGACGCACATAGCATTATGCGTCTCGCGTTTCCCAAAAGAATGTTGTTTTGTTAAATTGTTAAAAAAAATCTTTTGTTCCGAATGCACATAAACTCATAACAGAATATACACAATCTAACATAATACATAAATACACATATACTTTTAACTGAATACACATAATATAATGGAGTTTGGTTAACACAATACACATAAACTCTTAATTGAATACACATAAACTTTTAACTGAATACACATAATGAGATTTGGTTAACATAATATACATAAACTCTTAACTAAATACACATAAACTCATAACACAATACACATAAACTTTTAACTAAATACACATAATGAGATTTGGTCTGTTCAGACGAACGGAGTGACGTCAGCAAGAAACGGGCGCGTTTTGTGCCTGGGCGCGCACATTCTATATGCGCCGTGGTGCACGATATAAATTGCGATGTGAAGCCTGGGAAGGCCACATGCCACAAATTAAAGATCTGGCAAATCATCATGTCCATGCATGGAAGCTCTACCAAGTAAACATAGATGCACGGACACACACAAACATATTAATTAATATTTTTAATTGGCTAATAAAGGTAAGGGGAGATGCGAGGAGCTATAAAAATTTCAAGAGGTGTACCTTTGAGGTTGCTTATTCCAGCCGTCTCACTCATATCAATTGCTCCATTAGAAATATCTGAGAGCTCAAAAGAATGTAACAAATTAGCCAAGACCAAAAGTGCAAAACCTGAATAGCACTAGTTGTTCCTGGACATATTCTTCTACCAGCACCGAATGGAATCAACTCGAAATCCCGTCCCAAAACATCAATCTCCTTATTGCTATTGATAAATCTCTCAGGTTTGAATTCAAGAGGACTAGACCAAATTAACGTACTTGTGGATCTCGTTGGAGTTTCCACGCATTAAAGAATAGCCAAGTATCTTTTGGAACATGAAAATCAGACATAATGGTGCAATCTTTGGTGAATACTCTTGAAACTCCAAGTGGACCACCGGGATACAACCTAAATGTTTCTTTGACAATAACTCGAAAATACATCAAATGATCAATGTCTGATTCATTCACCTTCCTTTCCTTGCCAACTACCATGTCTAATTCCTCTTGAGCCCTCTTCAATACATGGGGATGCATGGTTCATTATCAAAGACAAAGCCCATGTTAGCATGACCATGGGTGTATCTGCTCCTCCAGCAATCAAAACCTTGATATACATACAAAAGTTGATATATAGTTGATAAAAATTGTGTATTTGATATATATTCAGGAACAAAATAATTTGAAAAATCAGGAGGACATATATACCATGCAAGTAGATTTGACCACGTACGATGTCAGCACTGCAACCATTTAGATCAATCTCTTCTAATCCTGACAGCATAGCATCCATGAAATCTTCTTCGTCGTGGCCACCCATAGCCTATTTCTTCAAACGATGCTCTTGTAACCATTCTTCAGCAAGAGAATCCATTTCTTTAGTAACTTCTTTCATGGCTTTCTCATACCCTTCGATATCTAACCATCCCAAGAAAGGCAGGGCATTCGCCAGCACAAAAGTTCCAAGAAATTTAACAAAATCTCTAGTTACCCTTTCGCAACGTCGCCCCTCTTTTTCATCACCAACTGCCAATGTGCCAATAATAATAATAATAATAATAATAACAAGAAGTTAACAACAACAACAACAACAACAACAACAACAGTTTCATATATTTGAGTAGTGTATATTATCCAATGAAACTGTAGATATATTGAAATGATACTGTAATTGTATTGTAATGAAACTACAATGTATATAAAATGAAACTGAATAATAGTTTCACATATTTGAGTACAGTTTATAATTTCGAATGAAACTGTAGTTATATCGAAATGAAATGAAACTATAATTGTGTTGAAATGAAACTGCAGTGTATATAAAATGAAACTGAATATGTTATATAAACAGAGCTACTTTACGAGGAACGGCGTATACCGAGTTCCGTTTCTTTTCATTAAAATAAACGGCACCGTTTTGGACCATGATCAACAGTATAATTTGCCTCGTAAATTCCGAGTTGTCAGTCAATATAAACACATACAATATACCATTGAAAAAGGCTAAATACAGTAAAAGGTTAATAAAATTACATGACTGAAATGAATATAAAATCTTGTAATTATTAGAAGATTAAATTGTAATCTTCAATAATAAAACTAAAAATAATTTATAAAACATTAAAGAAGTAAAAATAACTATTTTTTTTGAAGTCTGATCACATATACACAAGTTGAAGAAGGCAAGCGTAATCAAACCTAATTTTTAATGTAAATATAACATGCAAATTAAACCACATATAAAAGATCCTTTGCGATGAGTTTTATCAAGATTGTTAAGAAAAATAAAACTTATACAAAAAATAGTTATTACCATTTTTTTTTCAACTAATATTTTTATAGAAGGGTGGCCTTCAACCGATCAAAATCAATATTTACCATATAAGTAAGTAACATTAATTAACTTGGACAACCGGTATTTTAGTGTAAATGCACAGTTTTGTGTTGTTTGAAAGTCAACTGCATTAATTGGGTTCTTCAGGCCGGCTGATTTCCCAAGATGTAAATTGTTTCTAATTTTTAGTCATTGTTTTACTTCGGTGTAATTATGAAACCATGATTATTAAACGAATCAGAATATTCTGCAAATTAAAGATGATTACTTGAAACACAAGCCCAATTTTTGCTGTTTAATTATATATATACTAGCTAGTTCACTGAGCAGTCTGAGCCACCTCGTTAAGGCAACTGAAAACCCCAATTTCGATACTCGTACTGCCAACGTTTCACCAACATTCCATATGGGGAAATCAACACTCGGAATGTGCATAGGAATGCTGGGACTTCAGACTTAGCTTGCATATCAATGAAAGGTTGTCCATCCAAAGCACTAATTTAATGCAGGCGGACAATGGTGTCTCCCATCTTTACACGACGGACTCTCACAACAGGTTATCGATTTGGACTAGCCCAGACACCAACTTTGATTCTTATGGTTTTAATAACTATTTTTTTTTAGGCGTTTTGTCCGAATTAGATAATGCTCAATAATTATTTTTAAAGACAAAGTATATAAATGCAATATTATATAGGAGATAAATTCAAGATAATATATGAGATATTGATTATCTGTTCGTGGGATATCGTTGGTGAAAAATAAATAATAATTCAATAAAATAAGATTATTATTTTTTCTGGAAAATATGGAAGGAAAGATGGAGATTTGGCTAGTGTTTAGTGTTGGTTTTTTAGCAAGAGTCAAGCGATCACTATTTCCTTAAAACATTATTTGCCACCTCCCAAAAGTGCTAGGAGCTTTGTGACATAGGCTTCCCAGGATAAAACTTGTTGTGATTCAATGTTTGAGCACCCAAACAAGGAATCCGCCGAACAAATCAAGGTTAGGAACACAGTATGGCTAAGAAAGAGTAGGAAGCAGAGAGTTTTGAGGCAAAAGTGATACTTTTTTGTTGCATGTAAATCTCTACTGCCCAACTCCTATGGAGGATTTAAATAGCTTTTAATTAGGCACTTAAGGGCACCCATCCGCCTTCCTGTAACAACAACCATTAACATGAGTTTCAATTCAAAGATTAAAATTAGAATTAATATAATTCTGTAACATCATAATTGAACACCCAACGGTCACAAATTAGGACAGGTTCGTGCAGGCCGAAACTTCCAGCCGAAACTTCCAGTTTCGGCCATGGCCATCTTGGCATAACTTAGCCCGCAAGGCCAACCAATTTCCTGAAAACTTCCAGTTTCGGCCATGGCCATTTTGGCATA